GGTTTGTTCTTTTACTTGTCGCGAAATCAATTTCACTCCGTCCAGGTCATAAACTTGTCCAGTTTCCACTGCCTGATATGACTGTTTCTTTTCTGCCCTCAAAGGAGACCGACGTTGTGACAACGATCCTAAACGGACCGGCTGCTATACCCTGCCACTGCCATCCGCTGGCGGCGGGAGAACGCCAGCAAGAGTGCTTTTCTTCTTCAGTGTTACCAGTGGCACCTGCAAGGCCTTCTACCTGAAGGCGGACGATCGAAACTGCAATGCCTCGGCCTATTTCACGGACGGACAGGAGTGCATGCATTCCTGTCACAAGTCCTCGCCCAGCGAACAGGATCTGCCAAGTAGGGGATCAGGGCAAACCCCATCGCCCCCCGCCTCCCTTTTTATCTGAAAAGACAGTGTGTCTTTAAGTGGCTGGAATAGCAATGATCTGTGCGAAAAAATCACATGGTCAACGCAACCCAATTACTGCCTTAGTTCGGTTACTTACAGTAAACTCTCTAAATCATGAAATGTCAACTGCTTTTCTGAAATGTGTTTTGGATCCGAACATATTAATTTGGTATGGTTGGAACACAGATAATCGTGCAGCCTAATCTCAGTAAATTTCTGTCCCATGTAGACGCTGGCTTATGAAAAAGCACCCTCCCGACTGCCTGCAGAATGTATACTCTGTGAACAAACGACTACTTGAGTAGTATGCATTTTCTCATTGACTTTTACTGCTCTTATAAATTTAAATATATTTTATAGAAAACATGCACAAAAATTATTTCTGCTACGCGATTGGTAGCAAATTACGCCTTCTTTAAAGTTTATACTTAGAGAAAGAGTATCTTTCAGTTCCAAAAAAGTTTCGAAACTGCGGAAGAATTTTGAACCCTACCGACCGTTAAACTTGAATTCAGGATCTCTAAACTACATGCTGCATACATTTTGGCGAAGGAAATGTAGATATTTTCCTAAGGTGTAAAGAAGAAGTCTTAAAATTCTCCCAAAATTTTCTAATTGATGTGAATCATGTTGTATAACTTACAATTAGCATTAATAAGTAGACAGATATGTTAATTTGTAAAAACATCTTATAAATAGAAACGTTTATAGAAGCAGAAGGTACCCATTCTTCAAATGTAAAATTTAAAGAAGACGAAATTCGCTACCTAACCAGAAGAGGAAGGAATTTGTTGCATGTTTATTCCAAAATATAGTTGAATTTATGAAGGCAGTGAAATGAATAAGAAAAATGCATTTTACTTTATAAGTCGTTTTTTTCCAGAGCATGCATTCTGTAGGCAGTCGGGAAACTGCTTTTTCAAAAGCCAGCATCCAGATTCGCCCGACATATATTGAAGTAAACCTGTATGATTATCATTTTTACGACCATACTTAATGAATATGATCGGATCAAATACGCATTGCAGAATTTCGGTTAACATTTAATGAGTAAGGGACTTTGCCGTAAATATTCGTGCGCAAAGCTGAAATATGAACCTCGGAATAAGCCTATTCATGCTTGGTCCAAAATTTGCTTTGAGTACTTGAACTAAAATGCATAAGCTACTGCGGTATAACCGGATTTTATCGACAAAATACTAACAGGCAGCCAGTAGTATACAGTTAAAAACTGCATACTTACCATAGGGAACGCCCGGGTACTACTTAAGAGCAGTTATCCCGTAGCTAATTATGCTTTTCAGCTCAAATATTCATGTGAATTTTCGGACCAAGTCTGGAATTTTCTTCAAGCTCACGCATTAATTTCCTAGAAATTCAAACGAGGCAGGACGTAAGCCGGTGTTTTCATTAAAAAGCACACAATGAACACTGGAGGACCAGCTGGTGAGGCTAATACCAAGCAGCTGCGTGATACAAAGGCACAAGATTGGTGAAAAACGTCTTGAACTAGCACCTGAGTTATCAGTATGATAAGTGCGTGGCCTCACAAAATTTGTGGCCCTTTTTGAAGTGGCAAACTTCGACAAGGCGTGCGTCGTCCCATGCGGAGGTTTCTCCTGTATCGAGGCTATGCATGGTCACTTGGCGCAGACGATTATGTCTCTGCACTGCCATTTGACGCTCGTGGATGCGCGTGAAGACGGACTTTCCTAGTTGGCCACGATATTGGGCATCACAGTTCATGCATGGGATCTTTTAGACTATTTATTTCTTATCGGCATAGACAACCCTATCCTTAGGGTGTACAGTCTGGGCGCATAATAATCTCACGATGGCAAGTGTGTTTATATATACTTGTTTCTTCTCTGAATCGTCTCAAAAATCTTAATCAGTGGGACTGGGTGGCAAGATCTCATCACCTAGGTGTGACATATTTTCCAACTGTTCAGTGGTAGAACTGCTTAAGTAAGCGTTACCTTTTTAATAGGTTTTTTGCAACGTTTGTTCCTTTTTAAATAAACACATATAAGACAAGAAGCAATCGTACTTCGGGCATGGGATTATTCGTGAGAATAGGAGTCGGTTTTTAAGTTTCCGCATACAATATACCACATGGCGTACTCTACATACCAAAAAAAAACAAAAATCCACGAGAATGTCATTCACTTGGATGAGTTGAATGATCGCTAGGCTAGAATCATCACTGCCTCGTACGATTTATCTGTGGTACATACGGCAGAGTGATCATCCTACCTGCCCTATCTAAGAAATACTTCCAGATTACAAATAGTGGATCTCACGCGGTTCTGCATGTTTAAGATTCCAAATAACGGCAACAGTAGCTTATGTAGGCCCACTCATTAATTCCTACTACCCACATATTTTCCGACGAAAACGGTGGTGGGTGGGAAATTAGGACACGCAGTGTAATATACTTTAATAAATGCTAAATGCATTT